GACAGAGTGAACCACACACTAACTGACTGACACACCAGCTAACACACTGACATAATGAGAGACTCACACAGGGACTAACAGAGTGAACGACACACACACTGACAGACTCACACACGGAGTGACAGAGTAAATGGCACACTAACTGACCGACACGCTGACAGACTCACACAGGGACTAACAGCGTGCCGCTGTCTGTGTGTGGCAGAGCTGGAGAGAGGCCTGACGGAGCCGCAGATTAGAGAGGTGTGCTGGCAGACCCTGCAGGCGCTGGACTATCTGCACCAGAACAAGGTCATCCACAGGGACCTCAAGGCTGGAAACATCCTGCTGACACTGGAGGGTGAAGTCAAGCTGGGTGAGGAGGACCGGACACTGTTGGACAACACTTCATCTCTGTGACTCTCTCTGGCTGGGCTGTACATTTATATACAGAGCCCATCTCTCACTGGCTGGACTGTATATTTATCATATGCAGAGCCTGTCTCTCTCTGGCTGGGCTGTAAATTTATTATATACAGAGCCTGTGTCTCTGTTTCTGGGCTCTATTTTTATATACAGAACCTATCTCTCTCTGTCTAGACTGTATATTTATTTAGAGAGCCTGTTTCTCTCTGTCTGGCCTGTATATTTCTATACAGAGCCCATCTCTCACTGGCTGGACTGTGTATTTATTATATACAGAGCCTGTCTCTCTCTTTCTGGGCTGTATATCTATATACAGAACCTGTATCTCTCTCTGGACTGTATATTTATATGCAGAACCTGTCTCTCTCTGTCTGGATTGTATATTTATATACAGAACATGTCTCTCTCTGTCTGTACTGTATATTTATATAGAGAGCCTGTTCCTCACTGGCTGGACTGTATATTTATATAGAGAGCCTCTCTATCTACATTTTCCCTACATTTTTTTCTGTACCTCTCCCACACCTCTTGTCTGACTCAGAATACTGCCCTCTTCTCTCCCTCCTCTCCAGCTGACTTTGGTGTGTCTGCGAAAAACAACAGCACTCTGCAGAAACGAGCTACCTTCATCGGCACCCCCTACTGGTGAGTCAAGTACAGCACAATGGCCAAGTTATAACAGCCTATAGTACAAGGGCACTAATTTTTCTTACTATGGGGACAACAGTAAAAGTACTATTACACCCATACTATATGAACAGTAAAAGCACAATATAATAATCACATTACCATGTTGTAAAAGGCTATATACATGCTGACTGGAAGCTTATCTGATTGTGAGAAACTAGACATCTTTCATCTTGTTTTGTTCCTAAACAGTAATTTAAAAATCGTTCAGCGACGGAATCTCAACTTTTCTCATGAAGTTAAAAAACGTTAAAAAAGCTAAAAATTCACAAATTCAAAGTGTCCTAATGAAACAGAGAAGACAGCGCTGATGAGTCTTGTGAGAGTTAGGACCCCTGAGACACATTACCACCTGAGAGGCTAGTTTAATTAATCACAAGTGGAAACTATGTGGAAATGCTTTTAATACCCGAGAACAGGGAGGATCAACTTTTCACAAAGTGTTGTGGGAGTGTGGAACAAGCCACCCAGCCATGTTACTGAAGTTGATACCCTGGCTTCCTTAAGAAACAGCAGGATGAGATTCTCAGGTCAGTTAGCTATTAACTACCAAATGAGCTAGATGGAGCCCAATGGCCTTCTCTCATTTTGAACTATTCTTATGTTCCCATGAATCCATGAAGTATTAAACGGACAACTCTGAGCGCCACTCATTCCCCTGTTGATCAGCCATGTCTGAGCCATGCCATTGTAAATAGCATCTGTGTGCAAAGGTCGTCGCTGAATGAGCCAGGCAGGGGAAAGGTGGACTAGAAGTTATGTCTCAACTCAACTGTGTTCATTTTCTGTTTGACAAATTCCTTAATTATTCTAAACTGAACACCGGCAGCAAGGTGTAAAGAAGTCAGGAAAGGACAAAGAGTGACAGGCTTGATGTCATCCAAAGGCACAGATGAAAAGCCATTCGAGGGATTATAATTGTCTTTTTTTATATTTGGTTGATTTTCAAATGATGCCAAGCTCAAGGAGTGGGAAGGTTAAAGTCCTACCTTATCCGTGGCTCACTTTTCCTTTTTCATCTCCGTGGCAACAGGATGGCCCCGGAAGTGATCCAGTGCGAGACCTCCAAGGATGCCCCCTACAGCTACAAGGCAGACATCTGGTCACTGGGGATCACGCTGATCGAGGCGGCCGAGATGGAGCCCCCCTACCACGACCTGAACCCCATGAGGGTCCTGCTGAAGATCACCAAGTCCGAGCCGCCCTCGCTGTCTCACCCCCGCCGCTGGTGAGCAGTGGAACAGTAACCCATCAGCGCACACTCTCACACATACGCACGCACGCACGCACGCACGCACGCACGCACGCACGCACACACACAACCTCCACAGCAGCTATTTACTGAGTGAGCATTGTGCAGCAGCCAGCATCAGTGTTTGTCCACCTGGCGCTGGTAAATAAACACACAACCCTGCCTACACCGTATCCACTATAGCTGTGGCTGGTGCATCATACAGGGCCTGACACATAAGCTCACGCCGAAGGCAGATGTTTATATGTTCCGGTGGGGAGATCTCCAGGAGAAGCAGGCCTATCACGGTGTTTGGGGGATGTAAATATCAACCATCTCCTTCTGTACTTACGGTCCATGCAGTCCACGAGAGCTCTCACTCACCGCGTTCTCGAGTGCTCTGCTATTAATGCATTGCGAAGGCGGACAGTAATGCACGAAAATTGAACTGCAATGCTAGAAGGCACTAGAGCCACAGGAAAGCTGAAAGCATTTGTTAGTGCTGGAGGGATTCTAAGCCCTGTCTGGGTGACCCCTGCCAATCTGGGGGCTGGAGATGGCCGGGGTGCCCTCAGTCTGCTGCACGGCTGTAATCGCTGTCCTGCGGGGCAGCTGCAAGACTGCAGTGCCACGAGAGCAGCTGTGCTCTCGGTCCTCCAGGTGGCGCTATCCACATGTTGATTAGATGGGAAAAGGCACAAGCGGTCCTCTTGCCTTCAGTGCCCACCCGGGAGCTGTAAGGACAAAGCCCATGTGGAGTCCAGACTGGGAGGAGAGCATTTTTGAGTCGCCAGCCGTCACGTGCCTCTTGCAGAGGGACTCGATTCGCGCCACGCTAAGATGCAACTGCAGCATCCCCCTGGGGATTCGAACCCGCAACCCTCTGGCCCAGGACTCAGGGCCCTGACTGCTACGACTCTTGGTGATGCCCCCCCCCCCCGTCTTCTCGTGTTGCAGGTCAGGTGGTTTCAAGGACTTCCTGGGCAAGGCCCTGCAGAAGGACCCCGAGGCCCGCTGGAGCGCCGGGCAGCTCCTGGGGCACCCCTTCGCGGCGGAGGGGCGGGGCCACAGCGCGCTGCGGGAGCTGATCGCCGAGGCCAAGGCCGAGGTCCACGAGGAGATCGAGGACGGGGGCAGCGCCAGGCAGAGCCTGGCAGAGCATGTACGGAGCAGGGAGAGGGAGGGGCGGAGGGCTGCTGGGAGGCAGGGACACATGTGAGAGGGGTGGTGAGGGGGTGAGGGGGGCCGAGAGACCTGCATTTGAACCGATCTGTTATTAGAGAAAACAATCACTTTCACACGAGGACGCAACAGGCTCCAGACAGTTCGTACCGGAGTAGCCAGACCACCACCCAGTGCCACAACGGCTTTAGTGCTTCACAGAGCACTGTAGTGCTAGACCAGAGGGTTGCAGGTTCGAATCCTCAGCTGTTGCACCCTTGAGTCGGGTATCTATATATAGTATAGGGATTAGAGGGCCCTGACCTCCTGGTGATCACCTGGAATTATGTGCTGTATGTATTACCGAGATCTGTGCTCCTCACCTCTGGTAGAGTCGCCCCCCTGTGGCATTTACAGGCAGCTGCAGTTTAAAATGGGTTTGAAGCGGCTCAGACCAACTACAACAGATTATGCTTAGCTATTAGAGCTCAGGCAAGATGCCAGAAGAAGCTGAAATCTCTGACAGATAATTATCAGAAACTATTTTTGATACAATATTTTAGGCACTCTCCTAATGTCTCTATCTCCACTGCCCCACCGCAGGCTGTCCCGGAGTTCTGGCGCTCCCTGTTGGTGCCCGGCCCACCGGGTGCTGAGGAGGAACGTCCAGCAAAGATCCGGCGCGTCTCCGCGGCAACAGAAGCCGAGGCAGAGGGCTCGGGAAAGGGGAACACTTCTGCCGGGAAGGGGGAGGAAACGGAGGGATCGAACATGGAAACGGAAAAGGCTTCCGAAGTTGCAGACGTCTCCGCGTCTAAAGAGGATCCCAGTGCAGAGCAGCCCGTTCGCAGGAGAGCACCCCCTACAGGGGGGCAATCGGGTCCGGAGGCGACCATGAAAGACCTGAAGCGGGCCAGACGCAGGTCCGTCCCGGCTGCCTTTCTCTCCTTCTTTTCCAGCGGCCAGAGACGCTGCAAGTCCGTCTTCTGGGGCGAAGAGGCAACGGAGGCCCCCCACATCCCGCCAGCGAGCGACACCGAGCCGGCGGCGGCACAGCCTCCTCCAGCGCCGCCAGCTGCTGCTGCTGCTGCTCCCCTCCTCCAGCAGGGGGAGCCGTGCGAGGCCGAGCCTGGACGCCAGGGCCCGACCGAGCCACCAGAAACATCAACCCGAGAAGCCGAAGATGGAAAACGTGCAGAATCTGACAGCATCCCAGAGGCAGGCGAAGATGGGAGAGCAGATGGGAATCATGACGTCGGTGACCCGAGCTCTAGTGCTTCAGCTACAGAGGATGAAGGACCAGGGGCAGACGGACCCACTGGACTGCAAGAGGAGGTGTCCAGCGACAGGGACAACTCGCGGGATCCGGATGTCCAGGATTCCAGGGGTCCTGGAGACCACGGGGGCTCTGAGGAGGTGCTAGAGACAGCATCTCAGATTCTCAGCCCTCGGGAAACAGAGCTCAGCGTTGTGATGGGAGAAACTGAAACACAGGATTCCACCAAGCCCGCGGAGACAGAGGTTGGAGACGTACCCGCAGATTGCCAGGAGCATCCTGGCAGTTCCACGCCGCCCGACTCTGGTGACGACATCACCGTGACTGCCTCCGACCACCCGGACAGTCCTAGGGGAGAGCAGTGCCAAGGGCATGTGGATGATCTAGTCATCCAGGAATCCCTTGAGGGTCAAGCTAAAGCTGCACCTAACAGCTTGGCACCTTCTGAGCGCATCCAGCTCCCAGGCACGCCCAGCCTCAGTGAGCTCTCCTATCTGGCCTTAGAAAGGACTCGGGCTTCTGCAGGGGGCAGGGAGAAGCCCCACCCTTCAGTATTAGACTACCTTGACTTGGTAGGGAAACCGGTCCCGGCTCGGGTGAGAT